AGGTGGTCAAAGACTCCAGATATAACACAGGAGATAATCAGAGACTGCAGATATTGTACAGGAGATGATTGGAGACTAAGGAAATTTTTAATGAGACTTATACAATCCTCCCACATTTGGGCCCATACAGCACCCTTACAAACACATCACATGTAAGATCTATTATAAAAGGTCAGAGAAAAATAAATACATAAGATGTACGAAATAGCCTTAGATGTTGGGGTCAGACACTCCGCAGACCTGCCCGCTGTGTGTAGAATAATGAATGCACATACAGGCAGAGCTATGCAGGGTATATACTGTATACTGCTTGTGACGGACCCCAGTACTCAGGATGAGTATGTCCGCCACTGTATTCTTCCTTGCTGAGGAGATATTGCAAGCTGAAGATCTTTAGCTCTCAGTTTCCCCAGTCACTGGTCGAGACACAAGTGTAGGGTGAAACAAACTCTGATTTATTGAGCAACTGCACAAACCTTTATACAGCAAGTGATGAGATCAGATTATAATCCCATCACATCCACCCTCCCATCCCAGACAATCGGTCTGCTCAACACCACAGGGTTTCCCCTGCGAACAAGCTCCAGACAGCCATAGCAGGAGCCTGGCCAGAATGTCATTGTTCTGAGCTCCTTCAGAGTACAATGGGTGCTGATGGTGCCGATAGTCTTTTCATAACCAGGTCACACAGGATAAAGCACTTAAACATAAAACAACACCAATACACATTTAACTTATAAACTCATCACCATGCCGTCAGACTGCTACATAAAACACCCGATGACTGGACAGAGATACAAATATAATGGCCGTTAATACAGTTCACATTGATGTGCATGGAGCCCTCTGGATGAAGTTCGGCTTCAATCAATAAATAAGGTCCTCACGTGTAGATGGTGTTCAGCAGGTGAGGTCTCTCCAGATGCCGACAGGCTGTATCACTATTATGAAGTCACACCTAATTGGGCAGATGTATTCCCTTAAATAAACCCATTTATCTTCCCACAAAAGCTCTGTAGCATAAGCAAAGCTGCCGGGATATCGCAGCCATATGGAGCCGACGGAACAGGTGACTGCGCGAACGGCACGGCCGACACAGGACGATGGAGGAGTCCGCTGTCACCAGAAGAGAAGAATGGGGCCCTGAGGTGACTGGAGTTGATGGGGGGAACTGGGGGACTGACAGGGGGGTCTCCGTTGCAATGGAATTTAAAGCTGCAGTCCATATAAATATATATTGTGGCTTTTTTCTATTTTCCGTCCAGATTTGTGCACCGATTTAGCATGAAACAGTTCCAATCATTTGCCTCTGACCTGAAACCCGGACACAACACATACAGGACTCAAAACCCAGACTGTCCGGCTGAATCCCGGACAAGTGCCAACCCTATGGCTGAGCTGGTCACAAAGAGATCTTTGTGATCTCTCCTCCAGCTCAATTAATGAAAACACAGTGTCCGCTGTTGTGTTTCCAGTGTTGCACTCGGGGTGAATAGGGTGTGCCTAGGCACACCCGACACACCCTGTGAGCACGCCTATGGTAGGACCATGGTCAGCCTGTCTCCATTCTCTGAGCTTCAGAGTCATCCTCAGTAAATAATTTTAAAGGATAACTATGAGGTGAGTGATTTTCACTCACCTCATAGTTCTAGCCGACCTGTGACAATGAGACCGTCACAGGTCCGCTCAGTAGATCGGTAGGTGAGCGAACACATAGCGGCGTTCGCTCACCTCTCGATCCTGTCACGGCTCTCTGCCGTGACAGGGGAGGGGCTGGATTCCCCCCTCCCCACTCCGCCAGCGCTGACTGGTGGAACGGACGGGGGAGGGGGCGGGTACAGCTGGCTCTGCTTCTAGATAGGCAGAGCCAGCTGTCAGTCACGCAGCTGGGCGGATCCCGGCACAATTGTCGGGATCTGCTTCAGCGTCTCAGTATACCGCGAGCTACAGCTTGCGGTATACTGAGCCTAGGGTGACGGGGTGTCCTCCCGTTACCCTAAGGAGAACTATGGGGAAAAGCCTTAACCCCATAGTTCTCCTTTAAAATACAAAGTATAAATCTTTTATAAGTGAACACAATTGTAACAATGTAACAAAGAAAATCCACATTTTCACATGAAGCTGGTAACAGGTCCTCTTTAATCTGACTGATAATCGGCCTGCTGAGCTGAAAGCCTCGTCCACTGTCCGCTATCATCAGGATTCCGCTCCACCTTGGCCCATCAATTCTGCTCATGGAAAAACTCCGCCAGCGCCGCAGAAAACAATTGCAATGAAACTGCCAGGTGACCCGTGAAAGGACTACAGACCCCGAACACCTCTCTGGGGGGAGGAAGAGAGGGAGATTTCATCAGTGTCATTGACTCCCATCAGGAAGACGACTGCAGAGAGCGATGGCAAAGACAGGGATCAGCACCCTCCGTACACCGGGTGACATTTTAAAGGTCTGACCATGTAACAGAGGGGTTGTGACCAACAAGCTTAGAGGGAAAACTCGCAGTTCCCTTAAACCCTGATACAATACATATGCCTGCTGCACAAGCCACAGTGGGAAAATTGTCACAATTGGCAGGAATGTGAATATTCTTTAAAGGTTAAGTCTTAGGAGGTATTCCCCTCCCCCATTTTTGGACTTGTTTAGTCTGAGTTTAACTGTTCAAGTTTAGTGTCAAAGGCCAGAGCCCCAACGAAGCTTTGAAGGTCCCATCAACGGCTTGACCTCACATGCTGTCTTTTAGCCTCTAAATGTGCACAACAGCATCACAAAATCACCATGCCGTTGGCCACATTCCCTTAACAAGGAGGACCTGTTATACAAGTCCGTTATGTGCACTCAGGAGCTGGTAGAGAGTGGGAAGTAAGGCAGTGGACATCGAGGAGGTCTTGTTAGACTCCAGGAGGCTTCTGACCCCTCATTCTCAAGCTAGACTCAAAGTTAAGCCGAATAAGGTGGTACTATGAATCCTTTGCCATGTATTATAATTGATGTTTAAAAGGAAGCAAAGAGAGTGCATTCTCCTAAAATTTGGGATCGTATGCTTTTAGAAGATCCTACAAGGTGCCCCAGTGATGTGACCCTCGTCTAGATGAGCCCGTCTGAAGCTGGGGTATAAGTCAAGTACTTATTACATTTTCCTTTCGATGATTTTTGAATGGCTCTCACCTCCCATTTCTGAAATCAGGTATGGCAATAGATATGGCAACAGATTTGCATCTCAGCCTTATACAGCACCTATAGGACGTATATATTCAGGTCTTGAAGGATACCAGGGATTCCCTTATGCAATCCTGCAAAGCGCAGAACAAACAACACTTATTATGTTCTGATCAGGATTCCTGCAGCTGCCTTACAGAAGTAATTAACAATAGATGGCAATTGTACAGGGCTCTGGTATCAGTTCCCGCAATACATGTCAGCATCGCCCTCGCACAAAGTCAATAACGATAAATATAAATCTCTCTGGAATAAAACTGCACTGTATAAAAGTACGGATTGTAGTTTTTTGTCTCTTTACAGGTTTTGCATCAAAGAAGACCTATAACAAAAGGAGTTAAAGGCCAAAAAATAAAATAAAAAGCAGAAAAAAAAGAGAAAAAGGAAGAAAAAAAAATAGCACTACATGGCCAAAGGTTGGAGGACACCTGACCATGACCATCAGATCTCTACAAGCCTGTTGGGACATCACATTCCAAAACCATAGGCATTTATGTAGAGTTGCCCCACCCTGTGCAGCTATAGCAGACTCCACTCCACTGCAAAGACTTTCCATGAGATTTTAGAGGGTCTGTGGAAATTTGTGCAGATTGGTGAAGTCAGGTACTGATGTTGGAGGAAAACACCTGGGCTGCAATCAAACGATTGAAAATCCCAAAGGTGTTCCGTAAGGTCGTGTTCAGGGATTTCTGCAGACCACTCAATTTCCTCCTCATCAAACCATGCTGGACAAAAAGACTTGGCTCACAATTTAGTTCCAATTCATCCCCAAGGTGTTCAGTAGGGTTGACGTTGGGGCACTATGTACGCCTTGCAAGTTACTCCACACCAAACTCATCAAACCATGTTGGACAAGAAGACTTGGCTCACAATTTAGTTCCAATTCATCCCCAAGTTGTTTAGTAAGGTTGACGTTGGAGCAAGTTCCTCCACACCAAACTCATCAAACCATGTTGGGCAAGACAACCTAGCTCACAATCTGGTTCCAGTTCAGTAGGGTTGAGGTCAGGGCTCTGTGCTGGACACAATTCATCCACAAGGTGTTCAGTAGGGTTGACGTTGGGGCACTATGTACGCCTTGCAAGTTACTCCACACCAAACTCATCAAACCATGTTGGACAAGAAGACTTGGCTCACAATTTAGTTCCAATTAATTCCAAAGTTGTTTAGTAAGGTTGACGTTGGGGCAAGTTACCCCACACCAAACTCATCAAACCATGTTAGATGAAAAGACCTGGTTCACAATCTGGTTCCAATTCATCCCCAAGAGTTTTCAGTAGGGTTGAGGTCAGCACTCCGTGCAGACCTCTGGAGATCCTCCACACCAAACTCATCAAACCATATTGTATAAGAAGATCTGGCTCACAATCTGGTTCCAGTTCATCCCTTAGGGTGTTCAGTAAGGCTGAGGTCAGGGCTCTGTGCAGGACACTCAAGTTCCTCCATACCAAACTCATCAGACCATTTTGGATGAGAAGACCTGGCTCACAACTTGTGTTCCAACTCATCCCAAAGGCATTCAGCAGAGTTAAGGTCAGGGCTCTGTGCAGGATACTCGAGTTTGTGCACACCATGTCTTCATGGAGCTGGCTTTGTACTCAGGGGGCCGTCATGGTGGAACAGAAAAGGGTCTTCAACTGTCACCATAAGGCTTAAGAGCACAGCTGTGTAAAATGTCTTTGTATGCTGTAGTATTACCAGTTCCCTTCACTGAAAACACCTGAGCTCAATCATTTATGCGAAGGGGGGGG